GGTATGCATTTAACGTCAGATCCATCCGTTCCCTGTAAGAGTAAATGACTGTCATAACCTCTTAGATTATGAAAGAACACTGGTATTTCCATCTCTGGGTCTACTTTCATGTTACATCTCCAATGCGCTGCGCCTTTGTATTTACCAGTTACATGACAATGGCTCTTTACCTTATCTGTGTAGAAGTCCTCTACGAATGGCTTGTTACAATGGATACAATGCGTGGAAGGCTTCCCTGGCTTTTCACCTTTGTTGGTATACTTAYCACACTTTAAGTGTGCTTCTCCTAAATACTTACCATCTTCATCCCACGCTTTCTTTGCTCGTCTTCCGAACTGCAACAATGAATGTTGACAGATGCGACATTTCTTTGCCTTGTGGAAGTCTTCCTGGTCTTCTCTATTGAACTCCATCTTCTCAGGTCTCCTTAATTCCTTTCTTATCTTTATCTCCTCTTCTCTGAGGGATTCTAGGAACTGATTGGATGCGTTTTTACCTCTGTAGATCACAGGAGGCTCAGCTTTACCGTCTGATCTGACCACTATGTAACCATATGAGCATATCTCATGCAATCCTAACTTATTCGTAGCACCATTCTTTTGGTCTTCTTTGGTTATTATTGCTTCAAAGTCTGCATAAATGACATAAGGCACTTCCATTTGCCTTTGGTRGTCTGCATATGATAGCTCTTTGTTAGCTGGTAACTGTATGCGCTGTGCTACTTCCTCTGCTCCTCTGCATATTTCATCGTGTTTCTTCAAGTTGCTTATGGATGTAAATGATAATAGACAGCAATCGCAGAAGTACTTCTTACCCTTATGCTTGGTGTGTCTGTAGAATAGTCTACTGATATGCTTGACCCATGAATAATGTCCACCGTGGTAGAACAGATGTATGCGCTCTCCTTTACTCTTTGACAACACCAAAGGCACTATCGTCTGCTCTCTAACTCCGTAGACGTTAATTGCTAGGTCATTCAAGTCCTCGAATATGGGAATATCAATCAACTGCATGGGAAATTCCACGCCTTCCCACTCTAGTTCATCCATTGGGTACTTTGTTACCCTACATGGATCCTTTTCTACTGGATACAATGCAGACCTAATTGCCCACATGAAGCATCTATCGTCTTCGTTCTTAACATTTACGATTGCTTTTTTCCTTTCCACCCACGCTGGTAGAGGTACGTAGCTTCCACCTCTGATAGGAACATACCTAGCCATACTCACTTCTATTCCTTCTACTCCCTCCACCGTCCAACCGGATCCTTCTTTGGTGTAATTGGCTAAGGATTCCATTATAGCTTCTATGGCTTCTGTCAAGGACTTATCCAAATTCGTGGATTCTAATACAACCAAGGACTTCGATCGCAACATTGCTGTGGTCAATACATCATCTTTCGATAGRCTTACTTCAACCATTATGCTTGCTTTCAGGGCCCCTAAGTCGTCTATTCCTTTCCTTAGGGTCTTCTTTAGTTTCTTTTCAGATTGACGCCAAAACTGTCTCACGTCAATTTCACCGTTTCCGGGTATTGACACTGTGCTGAAATTGCTTTGGGATTCCATCTATATATGGTAAATATTTTATACCTAATTCCAAGCACTATTGTCGTAATCATATTTACAACTTTGACAATGCCAATACAACTTTACCTTAGTTTCAAACTTCTTTCCGCATTTACAGTCATAACTCTGTAAACATTTCTTTTTCATCTTTAAATGCTTCTTCAAATCTGCTGGTTTCTTAAATATTCTCTTACAACTTTCGCACTCCATATATAGACTAACATATTATCTTTTCATACTTGTRGACACGGGTAATGGTGATGTTTGTCGTTACCAGTTATACCGGGACATAGTGTATGACGCCGAAAATCTACTTAACGTGGGTAATTCCGGGGGTGGTGGTACTTAACGCAGGTAATTACCGGGTGGTCATCTGCGCTGATACCCCCATTCCCTATACTACTTTGGAATGTTGGCTTAAAAAAAAAAAAAATTACAAACTTTTTTAAATTTTGTTTCAAATTCTATAGTGTGGTCATTTTTGTCTGATGAACAACTCAAATAGGTCCCAATAGCCTGCTATATACCTTCTAGTTTACTCTAGTCAACTTACTTTTCTGACAGCTACTTTAAGTAACTTAACAAACAAAGGGGGTAATAGGGAGGGGGAGATTGAAGGGGGAGGGGGGAGGTGAGGTTTCAAGTAAATTTATAGTCGATGCTCAACCAATTCTCTTTTGCTCAGGTGCGGCTATCATGTTTGTAGCCTTGCGCAAAACTTTCAATAGTTTTGGCACCAAGTAATTAAAGCATGCACACTGAGACATCTCACTGGCTGTTTCAATACACATCAGTTTTGAGACATGGTCTGTGTAGCTCAGAGACCATATGTGTATAATACATGACTATTAATGTATAATTAACAAGTATTTGCTGAAGGCGAAGTGAATATCAGGGAATATTTATCATGATGAAAGGTTCATTTTAGTATTTTTAACACAAGTAAATCTAATAAATAACAGAGTGAGTTTTTTCATCTTTTCAAATTATATTTATCTCTGCAAGTGGCACAAATAGATAAATGAGTGAGTGTGTGTGCATAAGATGTAAATTGTGAGCTATGAGCACGCTGGATTTATTAAATTCACTTGTGTAAAAATGCTAATACATATTATTAATCTGGGTTATGGGTGTGAGCGAAACTTTTTATTGAACAGAGACATTTTTATACAATTTTATTTTGCAAATTCCCTTTTTGTCATATTCTATTTACTACATTTGTTGTTGTTTTTTTTGGTTACCCATATCTACCTACGTCCTACGTCTACCTATGTCCTACGTCCTACTTTTCTGGACCCTGCTTCACATGCTTTGTGCTTGAGATCACAAATTTGAAAAAGAAATAATGCTTATTACATACTGCATAGATTTCATGTGATTCTGGAAAATTTAATACTGTGGATGGGTGTTGCTCAGTCAACGATCCCATGATCCTTTAAGAGACTAGATTTTGTCAATATAGGTTGCTAATATCTCCGTCACATTTTCTTGGGACAAGGAATAGGAGAATCATATTCAAAATGGCACACCGTTCCCCAGGATTGGACGCTGATTGGACTATAAGGAATTTCCCACTCTTCATTGATTATCGTCACCTTTCAGTTAGTTTTTACAGTCTCAGGGAAAAAAACAATTTTACTTGCAAGGAAATCAATTTCATTGGGAGAAATTAAATCTTGGATAAAATCAATTCTTGTACAAGTTTGTAGTAAACAAGCTCCATGCAACTAAGGCAAGAATTTTTGCTAAAGATCTGGAGCAAGATTTCATCTGAAACTGAACCTCATTCCAGCCTTTTTGCAAATGTAATCTTTAATATTATAGTAATGATATTGGTATAAAAACAGAACAAATCGCTATAAAATAGTGTCACTATGCATACATTGCTATGGCCCATTCGCTGTCTGCAATGACTGCGGGCTTCTTGATGTTCAAGACGAAAGTGGTAGAGTCGTGGCTGAAAGGAAGTTGGGTTTCTTTGCCATCTGGAAGAAAGAGCAAATATGATTAACTTGTCAGCTGTGATATCACGTAATAATCTTTAGGGTTTCATAACTAATAAGACTTCGAAATAAGACTTCAAATTTCTTTTCTAGGGGGTTCTCCCACTCTACAATCTTTCCCAGAAGTTCTTCCCATTTCTATTCCCATTCTTATTCCCCTTCCTATTCCTATTCTCATTCAAATTTCTTCCTATTCTTATTCCCATTTTTTGATTACTTGCTTTTTTCTCATCCAAGAGTCAAAATTAAGTTGCTTAATAATATAGGAATACCAACCTGATCTAAGGACAATTGACTTGGGAGAGTTACTGATTCCAAGAATGACTATTCGTTCAATCCAGGCCTTGGTTTTAAACGATGTATTAGGCTTGACATTACTGTGAAAAAGAAAAAAATACAGTTATTTTTCATGAGTAAAGAACAGCTGCTCAGATAAGATTGAAAAAATGATCCATTAGACATGACTGTAAACGTTCCAGCATTCGTAATTGGACTAGTATTCAAAGTGTCRTATGAACACACTGTATGGAAAATGGTATGACTTTGCTTCCACCAATCCACTAATCAAATTTTACGAAAGGTTTGTGTCAGTCTATTTTTGAAAAATGAAACAAGAAGGAAGAAGAATGGAAGAAGAATGAAAGGAGTAGTTAACTAACAGCATATTCCACATGGATTTGAATAATCCATTATCAGAAGCAGGAGGTTGTTCTTTCACTTTAGGTTTATTTTCATCCCTAGAATTACATCAAAACATCAAAAATAAAGAGCTCTAGCGTACTATGGCTGGGGAACCTCCAAATCCTCTCTCCTGAATCAGGCTTTTAACTGTCTTTGCCGTAACTCCACCCCTAACCACATATTTAGCTACTATTTGTTAGTTAGCATCTAGATACCATGTGCTTGATATACCCGACGCATGATTAGTGAGTACGCAGAAAACATATAAAAATAGAGGTGCATAGAATCATAGTTAATAGAACTATGATAAAATGCAGAATGCCAATGAGAAGAAACAACAAGATTGTTGGATTTTGTGAAGTAAAAGAGAGAAAACAAACGAAGTTGTAAAAGTGGGACACGGAAAAAAGCAGAGAGCAAGAATATCCCCACCCATACCTCCCTCCCTCCTCATACTTCACACAGCTCCCAAAAGTCACATGGTTTGATATATGTACTAAATCAGTAAGAGGTTAAGAAAAGACAACAGCATCAAGATTAAGGTGTGAGCACAATCTGTTACATGCAACCCTGTCCTCTTCATAGCTAACATCCTCAATAGTATGTAAAAGAGTCACAATTGACGTTACAATGAAATGCCAATCTCGTGCTGCTGACTTGGTGCTGCATCATCTTTGCTAAATCTATCAAGTACATACTTAGCGACTAGTTTTCCTTGCTTGAATGAAAACTTCATGTAAGCGAACGCGCCATTCTTGTAGGCAAAGGTGTGGCCATCATCAATGTACAGATCCCCTTCAGCCTCGCCCTGATGATGAAAGAAGGGTATAAGTAAAATAAAAGTTGAACAACATCAACCAAGTAATCATCTTGAATGAATCGTTGGTATGAATTCCTTCATACCAGTGATTGTCAACATTATTAATCTCATTCACGACCTCAAACAAAAGACTGCGACTTGTGATAACACCCATGCATCTTTACATAACAATACTGACTCATTACCATTCACATTACGACTGAACCAGAGGTATAAATACCATCGACTGTGTCTCATTTTGACTTCCGCTCAGGTTGTTGAAACGTCAGTCACCACCAACAACAGTCTTTCTCAAGACTACACTCACATGGACAATCACATTTCACACCAAATTATTAATCTGGACATCATATCAACATCATCAGCTTCAGTAACATCATCATCATGAGAAGCATCTTAAGCTTCAGCATCATCATCATTACCATCATCATCATCATCGTTTTTATGATCATCATTTCATGCATCAATTTCTTCATCGTCATGCATCATGGAGGTCATCCAATCATAGTCATCATCACGCATCATCATCATCACTACCACCATTGCCACTATCACCATTGTCACCATCATCAACAATAGCAGAATCACCATAAACATCATTACTATTATTATCACCATCATTACCATCACCATCACCACCACCATGGGCATCATCATCATCATCATCAACATCATYGTCCAATCATAATCACTATACTGACCTTCATGTCCAGTGCCAGTGTCAGTGTGTACGGATCATCATGAGTCAGACTGGAACAACGACGGATGCGTTGTTTACGAGGAAAGATAGAACCTCCTCTCTGGAAGACTGGAATCTAAACAAAAATCCAAGCCATTAATACCATCAGCTTTAATATTATAAGTACCAATGTGAACTAATTACTCTGACTTTGTTCAAGGGAAGGGGAGACCCAGTTCTGACCAGACACTGTCCAATGTCCAGCCATTATTTTTAGTCCTGTAATGAAAATCACTCTAAAGTGCTTGTGTTTGTATGTATCTTACCTTATCTAGAGGTGCTTCAACTGTTACGCTGTTACCTCCACGGAAAATCTTGAGGGTGTCAAGATGGTACCAGTACTACAACAAAACAAGAATATTAGTCAAGTTCTTTTTTTCATTTCTAAGATATGCCTTTTTAGCTTAGAATTAACTCTGACCACATGTCATTCATTAATTCCAAGAAGGGGCAGCTATCATTTAAGTTCGCTGTTACTAAGGATTGGAATGATTTGCCTAAGGATTTGAGACAACTTAGCTGTTTTTAGAGAGAATAAAAGAAAAATATCAAATGCCCTTGGCAGGAATCGAACCCACATCTTCAGTATTCCAGTCCGATGTGTTAACCACTACACTAAGGACCAACCACGCTGGTAATGCAGCCGGAATATGAAATGTAGGGTATTCGTGARGATCCCAGAGTGATATTTTTTCTCTATAGGTAAGCTTAGCTGTTTTTAATTAACTTGAGTCTCATTTCGTTTGAGTGTTGCACATGAGACTACACATGAATATGGATACAACTCAAACAAAGAATCTTATTCTCGAGAGAATAACACTTGGTCTGAAATGGGACAGGATTACTCAAGTTAAAGAGGTCAATTAGACTGCATGTACAACACATGTTGAGTATGGTTATCTTTACCTCATCTTTGCCAGGCAGGTAGACATCCATGGTGGTTTGTCCTGCAGTAGTCACAGGCTTGACCAGCATATCAGTACCTTTAAGAGAATTTAATAACACATTATTAATAAGTTAATAATAAATTATGAAGAGCTGATACAAATTCTAATGGATTACTCTGTATATTCAAATGCAAAAAAAAAAAAAAGAAAAAAAGAAAGAAAGAAAGAAAGAAAGAAAGAAAGAAAGAAATTATTTAATGTCAAGAATGCTGGAAGTGGCATGATAATTTGATTTTTGCAGAGAACCTGAATAGAAACCCTCACATTATAGGAGAAAACTAACAAGCACCGCCAGTCTCAAATGATTATAAGCCTGGGGACAGAACCCATGAACCCAGTGGTGTGAGGTGGTACATTAGCAGAACACCCAACCCAGTCTTTCAATAAATTGAATAATCAAAGAAAGTTTTAGTGTAATAATTCAGTTATAATATTTTGCTTACCAATGAGGTATTCATCATCTATGGTGAAGGTGGATTTGTCCTTGGGGTACTCCACCCAAAGAGGCCTTAAACACAATATGCAAACAGTCATGAATACAATAAACAAAACAAAAAATACTTTAACATCATCGATAGAAACATGTCATAATTACAAGTAATGAAATGCAGAGTCAATAAATTTTGATAGTTTGATGCAAACCATGGGATATAAAACAATATACCTTGACAATAATACTTCTAAAATAATTTTCCTATGATACAAAGCAAGTACAAGCCGGCAAAAAAGCTATAGAACCATCTGTGTATCATAGGTTGAAGCAGATCCAGGATTTTTTAAATGAAGGTAACTGCTACAGGGTACCTTGCACTAGAACCACAGGGAACCCAAATTGACGGAAATTAAGTTTGAGTAAACCAAGTGAAAGCTTTTCCCAATAAATGTTTTCAGTTATAAACACATTTTTTGTTTATGCAAAGTCATCCCCCTCACCACCCCTGGATCTGTCCCTGCCTCGTGCTAATACAGAGACCGTGGAGAGGGAGGACAGAGATGATATATTTGGTTGATCAATGGATGATCAGCTGCTAGAAGAACCTGATCTAGAAAATTCATGAAGGTCTATTAGCATAACTGTCCTTATGCTTGATGCATCAGCAATCTCATGTAGAATTTCATGTACCTCTTGAGGTAACTCCATGTTAAACTGTCATCATGTGCATCAAACAATATCATGCAAAATTTGGGTGCTCGAAAGGTACATGCTAGGATAATCATGGGCATTTACTATAAAGACTTGGGAGAGGGAGGGCCTGGGATGCTATAGCCTCCCCACTTTTCACTAATTAATACTAGTTCTCCTCCTTCCCTAACGGACACTTTTAGTCTCATATGTACTAGTCTGCTGCATTTTTTTAATGTCTCAACCCCCTACTTTTTAGGACCTTCTAGGGTGGTCTGTGGCTGGTCCTTGAAAAAATCACATAATGTTCCCATTTTGAGTTCGCCTTTGCTCAGTCTTAGCACCGATGACCAGTGTGCAAAGTGTTCCCTTGTTTGATTACAGCAAGTTATGTAGTAAGAAATATATGTACTACAGAACAATACAACTTAATTAAATTCCACAGGTTGTAGTTGAATGGCTGAATCTAGTATTTTAATGCACAATAACGCTGAGGGAAAAAACTTGAAACTGGAGAATTACTGTGGTATATACTCTTATATACCATGGCTGATCAACCAATCAGGACCAAGCAGCATCATTATCAACTGTGGTACAATAACTACATACCTGACAATTGGTGTTCCTTCATTTGAAGCATGGAAGAACAAGGTGTACCAGAATGGCAGTAAAGCATATCTGCGTCGTATACTTTCCCGTATGATCCTCTTTGTGTTGTCATCAAACAGCCATGGCTCGCGCCTCTTGGTGTCCAGATGAGCATGTGCACGGAAGAATGGTTGAAATGCACCAGCCTATCATAAAAATATGTTTAACTAAACTTTAAGGGTGATTTTGAATTATGGAACCTGTTGTAGTCGTTATCTGATTAGCAAACGGAAGGTTACAGGTTCAAAACCTGCCTAGAAATTTGTTTTCAGAGAAAACTTTGCTTAAAGAAAAAAATGTAATTCACAACTTTAATAACTATCCAAGTACGAAGACACCTTAGCAGTCGTTGTTGTTTTTATATTGTCAGAATAAAGTGCTTCTGATGGTGTTTCATTTCCATTTTACAGATGGTAGTCAGTGTTTGAGCAGATAGTGTTTTTTAGACTTTTAGCAATTGTTTCACAACCACGACATATTGACGGCTAGTTGGAAGAAAATATATTTGTTTTTAGGTGGAATCTCCAAGCTTTTCTTGTCATCACATGTTAGCCAATCAGAAAGCTTAATTTTTAAACAACAATACCACAAAATATTGTTGCCTAAAAAATATGAGACTATTTATTGAATCGCTATACTTTATTGTGCTTACCTGGTACCACCTTGTCAAAAGCTCAGTATCTGGGTTGCCAAAAAATCCACCAACATCAGCTGTAAGGAATAATTATAACATACAATAGGTTTTTCCTATAATCTAAAACAATCTACTTTATATGAATATAAGAAATGCAATCCTACATTGCTTTCTGTATGTGCCTCAAATGTGGGTTCAATAAACTTTAGTACTTTTACTTTAAATAAACTTTGCTTCTGTCGTGATTGCTACTCAATGATCAAAACAAACTCTTGCGACAGTGGCGTAGCAAGGGGGTCATATGAGTCACCTCTCCCCAAAAAACTTTTTGGTAATTAATAGAAATAAAAGAAAAAGTAAAATATTAGAAATTAGATTGAATGAATAAAAATGTTTATTTCCTTTTTTGTTTGTTTGTTTTTTACTTTTTATTCTCAGTGTGCCCCCAATTCCTGGGACCTAGCGATGCCCCTGTCTTGCAACAACCTTGGACATGTTTCATCATGGGAAGATGTACACATGCTCACTTATCAACATACCTCCACAGAATGGCAGTCCTGTTATACCAATACTTAGAATCATGGGGATGGATGCTTTGAGATGGCCCCATTCTGCTTTGTTGTCACCAGTCCATATGGGACCTTTGGAATCAATCAATCACATCCTTGTGTTATATCTTGTATGTGAGAGTGAATATATGGGATGGGATGGATGGATGGATGGGAAAGAGTCATGGGATGGATGGATGCTTTGAGATGGCCCCATTCTGCTTTGTTGTCACCACTTTGTTGTTATATATTGTATGTGATAGTGAATCTATAGGATGGGGTGGATGAATGAATGGGATGAGAAAGAGTCATGGGATGGATGGATGTGAGATGGGATGGATTCATAGATGGGATGGGATGAATGAGAGCCATATGATGGATGGATGTGAGATTATTCCCAAATGGGAATGAATGAATAAGTGAATGAATATTGTATTCCCATTTGGCACAAAGAAAAAAACATCTTCTGCACTCTGTATAAGTACCATATCTCTGTGATCCTGCGAAGAAAGCTCTCGACAGTACAAATGGACGTTCCCTGCCTCCTGACCGCTGCATCAACCCCTGACCAGTAGCCATGTGTAGATACATGCCGTAGATGTTATGGACATCACGATGTTCCCAGTTCTCGAAATGAATTGCATCTTTATGCATGGTTATTTCAGGTCCATGAAAAACTGAAGGCTGGATGAGAATAAAAACAAAATGTTAATAACTTAATAATCGCTTAAATATTTGTAATGAAAATATATTTCTAAGTATATGCTCACATGTACGTATGTTGAAAATACCCTCGTGTATGAAATGTCTGTTTGTGTGGGATTTCTGCACATCAATATCATGAGTTTTTCTAACAAATGAATGAATGAATGGATGGATGGATGGATGAAAGAATGGATGAATGGATGGATGGTTGGATAGATAAATTAATGGAAGAATAAAAAATGAGCAATACAGATAAGCAAATGACAGAATGAATGAATGAATGGATGAATGAATGAATGAATGAATGGATGAATGAATGAATAGATGGATGAATGGTTGGATGGATGAATGAATGAATAGATGGAAGGATGGAAGGATGAATTGATGATGATGCTGAGGATGATGATGTTGACAATAATAATAATAATAATAATAATAATAATCATACCTCATTCATGTCATTCCATATAAAGAGAGTATTGGTAGAACCCTTTAAATAAAAAATATATAATTAAGGCTATTTATGTGTCTCCTTGTGTACTACAACCATCAAACAAAGAAGATGATACTCTAGATGACACTTGGTCTGAAATAGGAAAACCTCACACCCAAGGTTAAGAGATCTATTTGCACAATCTCCTTGTCAAGTCTTGATGCATCAGCAATCTCATGTAGAATTTCATGTACCTCTTGAGGTAACTCCATGTTAAACTGTCATCATGTGCATCAAACAATATCATACTGTTGTCAAATTTATTCTCACTTTCTGATTGGTTATCAGACACTATGTATGAAAGTATAAACAATGATACTGTCACTGACAAGCATGCACCGTAAGCACTTAGGAAGTGCCCTAAGCACACTTCTTTCATGCTTATGCTTTTCCTGCGTGCTTTATTACTGAACGGAGCACAAAAAAAGCTGTTTTATTTGTTAAATATCTGTAGAAATTATACATATAATATTATTTTATTTAAACAAAATTTCACCTTGTAATTATCAAGAGAGAACTGATCTGCCCACCAGTGACGATACTCTGGATTAGTGAAGTCAATCCAGGAAGAGGTGCCTAAAACATTCAGAATAACAATAATTGTTACGTCTTGAATAAGACTGCTGCGGCTATTCATTACCCAATGAGAACAGAGCAAAATGATGTGAATATGAAAATTTGTTGGTATGGTTGTAATTTCTTGTAGCTTTTGCATAAACGGAGCGTGCACTTTCAACCAACTTCCATTAGATAAACATATAGTTCCAATCTTGGAGAGTTTATAGCAAAGGCCAGTCGCTGTTTTAAATGCTAGATGCTATGTGCATTGTCTTGTTTTGAGCAATTATCTTATTGTATTGTAATGTAACTTGTAATTATTGTAGTGTTTATTTACTTTGTAAATTATATCTATTTTATACAGGAATCTATTTAAACTAGCCCGTGCTAAATTAGATATTCCTGTTAAAATATTGAATGAAATAAAATAAATAAATGAATGCAGTGACTGCTGTCGTGCTATGTTGGAGCATTCTCATTTGATAAGCATTGATGATGAGGCATTTCTCCAGGTCCTCCAGTTATCCTCCCTCCTCAAAAACCAAGGTGTGAGTTGAGAATTGTGTGCTCAGAATATTATGTGTTGTGGTAAGTGGGTGCATGATCTTTTCTTAACTATTGTACATGTTTACTTTAATTACCTGGCCAGCACCAGTTTTCATATTCTCCTCCATCTTTGTTCTTGATGTAGAGTCCAAGACGAGATGCTTCCTATAACAGAATGGAAGGAAAGATTAATGAAGTAGCAAATGATGGGTCAATGGGATGATAAAATGGTGGATGAGATGGAAGGATGAATGGATGGATATATATAAACGAATGTATGGATGGATAAATTGACAGTGGATCGAAAACTGGATTTGGATACAAAAATAGAGTAAATGTAATGCATGGAAGAATGGATAAAAATGCAAATGGGATGGGATGATAAAATGGTGGATGAGATGTGAAGGATGAACAGATGGATATATATAGATGAATATGTACAGATGGATAAATTGATGGTGGAATGACAACTGGACCATTCAGGTCATCAGGATACAAGAATGGAGTAAATGTAATGGATAGAAGGGATGAATAGACAAATACCAATAGTAAAATTTTTACAAGCATACAAAGAATAGATATTTTACCTCATGTATGCGATATCCACTAGCACGTTTAATATGAGGATCGACAATTGTTACCATCTAATAAAAGAAAACACAGAAACACATCACACAAGATTCCAAGAAAACTAATAATGGAGAAAACAATAACAATATGAATGACGCATCAGGAATCTCATGTAGAAATCACAGAGTACTGTCAAGTAAGTTCTGTCATCATCTGCGTCATTGATTACTATTAATAATAACTAATATTTGCAGTATAGCCTACCTTTCTTGACTTGGCAGCCAACTTGTTCTGCATAACATCAGGTGTGGGGAACTTGCTGCTGTCCCATGTCATGTACCTTAAATGACAATCAATGTTTTAGGACAATTCACGGAAATACTATCGATGTAACCAAACTGGGTTTTCACACCAGAAATACATGCCACGGTCATGCCTTCAAACAACTATGACACCACTGATAAACATCAACCTTTGATACCAAAACATGAAGAAAGGAATGCAATACAAAAGTTTGATGTTTGTCAGCAGAGTCATGGATGTTTGGAGGCGTGACGTGGCATGTTTTTCTGGCATGAAAACCCAGTTTCGTTTCCCGTTGAAGCCTGAAATCATTTTTTCAGGTCTTTCTTTACAGCGTTCGCTTATATGAAGGTGGGTTCCATCTGTGAGGTAGCAATGCCCTGACTTTGATTGGCCYATAGGCTGTTTCAGGGTACTGATAAAATTAGGATTTTCAAGGATAGAGATCAAAGAAGAAATTCAACTCTCTTTGATCAGGAATTTAAACTTTTTTTTTTACTGTACTTCAGCAAAAATATACCACAAATGTAGAACCATAAGAAAATCTAGTAAATACATTGAATAACTATAGAGAATATGGAAAGAAAGGTTCATACTTTTTCCCATCAGTGTGCTCTATATCCAGCCAGAGAACGTCATATGGAATATCATGTTCATCAAAACCTGCGTCAACGCTGGTAAAAAGATAATGTCAACATTAATATTAATAGTTAAACAAGTCCTAAGTAAAACTACTGTTACAGTTCAGTGTTTGGATAAACTCTAGTGTGAAGAAAGATGACAACAAACACCAACAAAAACAATAGATGATCATGATATTAATGCTGATGATGACTGTTGATGATGAAGATGACAATGATGATGATATGACATTGATAATATTGTGAATGCAGTGATATCAGTGGTAGTAATGATTACAGTGATGATGATGAAAATAGTGACATTGATGTTGATGATGATGACAGTGACGTTGTTAGTAAGTGATGATGATAATAAACTGCAGCTTCATCTACAAACCAGTATGGTTACCAGAATACAGCGTTACAATAGTTTATATTCATGCTAGATACCATAATGGTTATCACATTGTATTGCAAATTAGCCATGCGATTTTCCAGAACCTATTCTAGAGTGATGGTTGAAACATTACCCAGTATGACATTGACCTGAGGTCTGGTAAACATGGTATCTAACTGCAGTATAAAATAAAACATACTTTTTGACATCTTCTTCATCATTGTAGTTCCATCGACATTGTTGGTAGCTTATGCCAAAAAGCTGTTGAGAAAGACACCAAAGAAAGTTGGAGAATAAATGATAATAAATATGATAATTTCATAATTTCAGCATGAATAACGATGTCATACAATATCGTAGAGTCCTGTTTATAAGTAACCCCCCCCCCCCGCCCCTGGTTATGAACACCATGAATTAAAGTCCACCCAAAAGCCTTTATCAAGTTGTATAAGCTGAGGGCTTATGACCAGGAATTTATGGTATGACATGAAGATAGTAAAGAACACCAATGACTTATCACACTTACAGGAGGAAGTGCTGTAGGACCAGTAAGGGTTGCGTACTGCTTGAATACATCATGTGGCTTGGGTCCCAGCATGACAAACACATCAATAATACCGCTCTCCGAGAACCAGTGAGTCTCCACCTGTGGGACTTCTTCCTCAGCCTTGAAAAATGACATCAGGGAATTTAACATGGACTGAAAGGTAGTGGAAAGAAGGGAAATAGAAAATGAGAGAGCTTTGAAGAAAGAAACAGCACTTTTATTATAAGATGTAGAAAAGCTCAAAAAGATACCAGTGGGTTCCCTGTGGACATATACCACAGGATACCCAGATAATGAAATAGTACAGCCCATAATCATACCTTTCTGGCATCAGAGCTACTGATATCCACCCAGGTCTCTGCGGCATTCATCCAGAAGATTCCCACAGTTTTGCTCACACTAATAAATTGAGCGATTGGAAAAGAAACTAAATGAATGGATGGAAAAATAGATGGAAAAAAGGGAAGAAAACATGATATACGGCATGCACATAGGAGTATCAGAGTGTAACACCATTTCTCTTGCCTCTCTTGGCTAGGATTGATACTCAATTAGTATGACAGTATAACCTTACCTGTGGGCCAGCATGACAGGAATGGAACCATATAAAGCCATGCGGGAATCCAACTCATATTCAAAGACATCAAGATTATACAAACGATAAGGTTCTGATCCACTGTAATGAACAAAAGATAACAGCTTTGACTAACTGGAAGTTGATAAAATACTTTATTTTTTTCTGGTCCTGTATCCTAAAAATTGTGAGTTCTGATTTACTGCACAAATAGGCAGTATTTTGCCCATGGTCCAGTATCCTGACATTTTGACTTTCATCATCCTCAGGTGCATGGGAAAATAGATTGTTAAATAACAAAACATATCACAGCTCACAGAACCTCTAAGCACCTACCAAGCCACCTAATTAATCAAATGAAACCTATCAAAATAATGAATAAAATTCTTTCTGCTTACATAGTGTTTTTGAGAGCCAGTGAATCAGCATGTTCAGGAATACCATACACATGTTCTACTCCTGGAAATGATATGTCCATCCCAACCGAACTAGGTCCTGTAATATATAATACCAAATACATGTTTTAAGAATTTCACCTGCTGAATGTGGCTACATGGCTACTTTTGGAAATTGACTTAAACTTTTTTTAAAACTTCGATTTTTCCTAATTGACATTTAATGCCGATTCCAAATATGGAAAGAAAAATAGGGTGTCCCGAGTTTTCGAGATATTCAGCATTTAATGGAACTAGCCTACACACGAGCTTTTGGAGTAAAAATTGCACCACCAGAAGTGATTAGAAAAAATTAAGATTCATAAGATAATAGTTATTTGCAGAATATATGATTGCATGAATGAAGGCTAGTCAATCATTCTACAATAATACATGGATATTTTTGACAAAAAGACAAAGAGATACATTGATTTGTCAAATTTTGTAGTTTTGGTGCTCTTAAAATTTCTCATAAAGTCGAACAAAAATCCCTACAAAAATCTATTTTTTCATGTGTTACTGATTTAAACTTTTCCTAAAATGCTGATATAACCTAGGTTTTTAGGAGTTTTATTGAATGAGCTATTAAAAAGTAGAGAGTCCCGTGCAAAATATGAGGGTTTTGCCTTGTTGAAGCTCAAAATGCGTATGGTTCTTCAATAAAATATTGTAGATTTTTCAGCGGTTTTTGAACGTGCGCACATCGTGGGCTCAAATTGAACGTTCAAAAGTAGGCAGCCACCTTAACAGCAAGATTACTGTGTGTACTTTAGAGTGGTTTTATGGCTGTCATTTTGTTAGGGCTAAAAAATCAAAAAATTCTCCTCAGGGAAATCAAGTTATTTGTCATGCAAAAATATCGCCATGTTCCTGCCCTTGACATGGCTGCTGTGAAATTCTATCTTTGATAATGGCTGTGTGTAAGCCAAACAAAAATTTAATTCTTAAGAGCTGATGTTAAATTCATAACTCATAAAACGACAAACCTCTAGGCTTGGAATCATGATGCTCTTTGAAATTTTCTTCCCACATTCCTTCTTCATCTTTAGTTTCTTCCACTTTCTTCTCTTCCTCCTCCTCTTCCTGGAAAATCCAAGACAAGAATGACTATAAAAATGATCCATTTTACAAATTTACAAATCAAAATCTCAAACCATACCTTTTTCTCTGCTTCTGCTGGAGTATCAGATGTTGCCTCTTCCTCACTTCCTGGTGGTTGAGCCTCGCTATTGTCTTCTTTATCAGGCTTAGGAGTCCTTAAATATCAAAAGAACCATTCTCTTAGTAAAACTACCTATTACTGAGTGTCACTTCTCAGGTTTCAAGTAAAACTGAGAACATTTCTGGTGACTCACATCAGCTGAAAGTTTGCTTCTGGATTTGATTTGCAAGTTAACTATGTTCTGACTTAGATCAACTCAGAATCTTTTTAGAATTGTGTAGTTCCAAAAATTATCCATACCCCCTCATGGAGGTATTTTTTAAAGACACCCCCCTAGCCCCCAGAAATTCCTATTTTCTTCCATACAAACTCTGTATTTTTTGTTCTTTCTCTGACCCCCTACTCTTCAGAAATTCCAAATTCCTCTGTGAGTTAGCCATGCCCTGACTTTGATCAGCCCAGAGGTTTTTTCAGGTTTAAATCTGTGAGTTAGCTAGGCTCTGACTTAGTTCATCCCAGAGTTTGTTTCAGGGTTTGATCTGTGAGTTATTTGTGGCTAGTTGACTTACATCAGGTACTGGCAGGTTTTTACCATGTATATTACTACTACTTACGCTTTTTCTCTATAATGTTCAAAGTTCATCAATCCCTTGGAGTTCACAGAAACAGCCACTTCATTTGCTACCATGAAGTCTAATCTAAATGGTTTGTATGTCAGTACTACGCTGTTGTCTTCTTCAAACTGGATATGAATACTATTGTCGTCTTGCTTGACTTTCTTGTATCTGTGTTTCAATGGTAATGAAAATGTCATCTACAATCAACAATGAAAGCCAGAAAATATAGATACCTCTCCTAGAAGAAGGATTGGAATCTCCATGGGAAGGGTCTAATTAAAATATCAAGGCAGGGTTTAAAATAAAGACCAATCAGTCACCTGTCATGATCACAGGCCAAATCAATTTTAGCTTAGTCATACTTTATTACTGGCTCAACGTTAGTGTTCAAAAATAACCTGCAAGGCAAAGATTTGACTGGACAAGTCTAAGTTTTGGCTGGACATTGTCTGATGTCTCTGATGTCTCAGGTTTGATTCCTGGACTCAACATCACAAGTGATCTCCCTTGATTCAAAGGTTTTTCACTGGGGTCTCCAGTTTTCTTTCCTCTGCAAAACCTAGCCAGCTAAATCCCTAAGAAAGCTGTGCCCCTGCTTTGATCAGATCATAGGTTGTTTCAGAATTGGATCTGTGAGTTATCTGTACCCTGGCGTAATCAGACCAAAGGTTGTTTCAGGGTTCGATAAAGTATTTTTTGCAGGTATATGATGTAGTAAAAAAATCTGATCAATTAGAAGTTGACTTACCTAACTGTTAATGGTTCCTTGACTAACGAATCTTTTACTTGACAACGAGGTCTAATTGGATTCACTTCATTAATTTTAAATCTGGCTGTATTTTTTTCTAAAGTAAATAGTTCTAATTTTAATGTGACATTATTATTGGTATTCAGTATATTTGCTTCTATAGTGGAATCTGTAAGAACCAAGGAATCTTTAAGAACACTATAAGGTGATTCTCCAGCTTTTATTGCACGGTTACGCCTGGAAAAAATTAAACAAATGCTGATTAGTTACCTAAACCGGGTCTTGAAGTAGGTCCCTTTAATTCTTTTCCAGACAAAGTCCTAGTAACAAATTTTGGAGAAATCCAAGTGAAAATACCCAAAACGTGATTCACATCACTTAACTTTAAAAACTTCCAGAATAGATATTTTAAGCTTAGACAGAGAATAATGAAAAATTAAGCTCAAGCTAAAAAGGTCTGTATTTTATACTTAATGCGTCTTGCACAAAGGGAAATAAAGGAAGAAAATGCATCCCATTTATCCTTTTTTTATGCCCTCCCTTGATCAAGTCAGGGAATGTGGAGCTAAGGTGTAATTTCAAAATTAATTTCAAAATTAAAAATTTCCAGGGATCTCAATTTCAAAATTTTTCAGGGCTGGCATACCCCTGAACCCCCTAGGTGCTCCTGACTTCAGGGGGTTGTTAGCCCCTCTCACCCCCCAAACAGTAGACCCTCCATCCACAGTCCCTGGTATAGTATATGACATCCATACTTACTTGCAAAAGCTACTTTGATCACATGTTTTAAAAATCCCTTTGTCCACAGATAATATCAATGTAAATGATGACAGATATAGTAGAAACAGATATTGGACCCTGCGGGAAATTGAAATTAAATTGAAATTAAGTGGATAAAAAAGGAAATATATAGCAAATCGCACAATCTCAAGTACAATTCTGAATTGATAGGTACAAGTGATGATTGAATTTTTTTTAAATTGGCAAGTTTCAAAATTAGGTGAGTTCAATTTGAGAACTTTCAAAACATCATGAGTATTTATAAATTCTGAATTGTATGAGAAGATCATGCCATTTTTTGTTTATAATACACTCAACTAAACTGAGCAACTTAAGGACTCTACAGACTACGATTTATGAAGGTAATTGAACTC